TGATGATCCACATCACATTCTGAATTTAATCCAAGTGCATGATGTGGTCTTTAGCATGTCAACAAACACAATGGCTTCAGCTAAAATTATAGCCATGGCTCTGCCATTATCTGTAATCCAGAAAAAGTTGCTTAACTAGGTTGCTTCAGCACAAGTGTATTCCATGGAATGTCTTCATGGGTTTTAAAACCTTGCTCATGCTGACCTCAAAAACTTTGCCTTACTAAGGGGAGGAAGGACACTGGAATTTGAAAGGATCACTGACAAACCTGGACATTTACAATTTCTTGTATTGTTTTCTGTAGCAGTAGAAAGATTTCTCTTTTCTGCTTCTAAGGAGTTCACTCTCAGCCTGGTCAGCTTTGTTTTATACAAATGCTGACACCAGATGTGCAGGAGCTGCTGGTGTGATTACAGCACAGAGAAAATGTGGAAACTGGCATAGTTGCATCCTTTGTCAGTTTACAGCATCCAGTTCACTGAATCACTCTTTCTTTACCCAAACAGCAGTCAGTTCTGGCATGATGCATGTGTGATTTTCAGGCCACAAAACAAACTGCCAGAAATTCACTGTAGCAAGTAGCAATTTACATTAATGTAGCTAAAATCAGGACTGATCTCCTCATTGCAGCCTCTAACTACTGCAATCACACACATTAATGTACTTCTATCAATGCCTGACTGATTTTGAGCAAAATCAGGATGCCACTATGTTCAGTACAACATAATTGTCCATAGGGACATATTTCTCGGCTTCAAAATTGAGATTATATTTCAATCTGTTAGGACAAAAAAATAGGAATCATGTGAGTTTTAATATGAATTAATTACACTGGGCTCCCAGTGGGGACCAGCATGTGTTATGTCTTGGTCTGTGGGAGATATCAACAGTCAGAATTGCATCCTTGGAAGCATCTAGTTCCCTGCACTATGAAAAGAAAAGAGTACAGGGTGCTTAGCTCAGTTGCACATGTATATATTGTAGCCATGTAAAGTTAGATAAATCTACCTGGATCACCCGATAAATATTTCCTGTAACCATCCACATTTATTAATCTTTTGGAGGTGTAGATTTATCTCTACTGAAGCAAATATATCAGCCTTGGCTAATGGTTGCCATAATGTTTGGTCTATGTATAATGTTCCTGCTCTTACAAGTGTATACTCAAACCTTAATTACTAAACAACAAGGCAAAAAGAAGCAAAGCTGCTGCACCAAATTCATGAAGTGCAGGAAGCTTTCTCCAGCTTTAGAGAGGCACAGCATCACAGATGAGAACCCTACCAGAATGCCCAGACTGCAGAGCATTGCCCTATTAGTAGTGGCTACATACGTAGAGTTTCTTATAACCAGTTTCTTCCTCTCGGTGGTGTGTGGGTTTTGGGGGTCAAACCGTATGAGATGCTGTGCTGTTACATCAGTAACTTCACCCAGTTCAGGTTTGCTTTCTCCACCCGTGACGGACAGAAGCTCCACAGCAACCAGCTCTCCAACCCCTTGAAGAAATAATTAGGTGTTATTGTTTACCATCTGACTACTAACATAGTTCATATCACTAATTAACAGCAAAATGTCAGTAATGGCGATTACTGATTACATCTGGAGTTTCCTCAAGTTTCATAACTCCAGTGTGTTAATTGCACAACCTTTTCCTGATGTCCTTTATTTATGAACCTGTATCAATAGAGACTTTCTCTTCATGAATTTCACAGACTGGATTTCAGGGCCACAACCTCAGCTCACTGACACCTGCACCATTTCACTGAAGTGAGCAGGGTGTTTGCAGTGGATGGCAATGTGGCTCCCAGATGTTTTGAGCAGTATATTAAAATAAGTAACCAACAAATGCACTATTAAGTAATCCAAAGGGAAACACCTATGATAAAGTGATTCCATAGACTACAAGTCAAGCATAATGTTACAGCATTCACATTACAGGACAAGCACTGACACTTATAAGAATTTCAGCTGGTTTCATTAGCTAACCCAAAGACTGCCTCCCTCTCCTGAATACCCTCATCTAAGATGTGCCCCAAATTTGCTTGATTTCTTCCCTGTTACAGCTGATGGTTTTTATAGTTTGTCATGTTATCTTATTGACAGAAAGGTCCAAGAAAGGAATTGCACCTGGCAGCAGATTTTCTTTTCCGATACTTGGTGACATTTTCATAGAATCATGGAATGGCTTGGGTTGGAAGGAACCTTCAAAAGCACCTATTTTCACCCCCCTCCCATGGGCACAGACACCTTCCACTAGACCAGGTTGCTCAGACCCCCATCCAACCTGGCCTGGAACACTTCCAGGGATGGAGCAGCCACAGCTTCTCTGGGCAACCTGTGCCAGTGCCTCACCACCCTCACACGGAAGAATTCCTTTCTAATTTCCAAGCTAACTCTGCCCTCTGTCAGTTTAAAGCCATTCCCCCTTGTCCCATCACTCCATGGCCTTGTACAAAGTCCCTCTCCAGATCTCTTGTAGTGCCTTTAGGTACTGGAAGGGGCTCTAAGGTCTCCCCAGAACCTGTCCTTCTTCAGGCTGAACAACCCTAGCTCTCTCAGCCCATCTTCTTTTGACATTTGGATTTTTAGCTATGGTGGGTTAAGAGCTCAGTGTTTTCTGAATCCCATGTATTTCATACACTAGGGTAGAATAATAATAACAATAACAATAATAATATCAAATGCTTAGCATTTAGCATCACCAAGGGACACCGTATTTTCTTAATCCAATGACATAAAATGTTACCATCAACCACCACTCACATTATTCGAACATCTACAGTGTTAGAAATGCAAACTCTGAAAGGTGCTGGAAACAAACCTGTGACTGTAACATCACTGACTCGACAATTGTCACACACAACGGTGTATGTTTGCTGTGAGTCTTCTGGCAAAGAAGGGAAAAACATTACCTGAAAGAGAGAAGGGAAATAGCAATGTCTGTAACTCTCTCCAGGAAGTAATACACTTCAATTTGTAAATATTCACTAAAAGACAGTTTTAGTCATTAGCAATTAAATCTTACATTTGCAAGAAACAATCAGTGTCATTTTTGCTCACACAAACCCAAGTTTGCAAGGTCCAGCCAAGGTCATCTAAAATGATCTTCTTTGCTAATGTGTTTGTTAAAGTACAAATACTTCCTCTAGCAGTTGGTACTAACCTCTACTGCTGTACTCTGCCCTGGAGCTAGCTCCAAAACAGCAGGCTGAATCCCAAAAGGATCTTGTATCACAAAATCAACAGTGGTAACAGCCTAAGGTATTAAAAGAAAAAAAAAGGTTAATGAACTAAATTGATCAGATTGTTGTTTTTAAAATACAGGGCTACCTGAAACAGGCAGGATACTACAACATCTTTGTTTTACCTCTTCCTATAACTTTTTAAGTATATTTTGAAAGAATGTGTTTTATGTATATGGCTTAATTAGAAAAAGTGCTTCTTGCTTTATAGTTACCTTGGTGAAAGGAGAAGGGAAAGTTCTGTCTCCAGAGACAAATGACAGTGTCAGGAGCCCTAATATTCATGTTCACAGCAGAACAGTTCTGCCTGAGCACAGGGGCTCTGTCTGTTTCTCCATGCTTAAGACTCACTGTGAGTTGGAGCAGAGAAGAATTTCAGGAGGGACAACCTGGCCCATCAGCTATCCCACAGCCTTTTCTCCAGCACTGGTAATACCAATCTACCTGTCACATCTTATCTTCTTTGTCTGTTTCATTTAGACCCTGCTTTGTGATGGGAAACTAAAGACAGAGCAGAACTGGAGTGTCATGCTGTGTGTACAGATACAGTAAGATCAGTAAGGGATATCTTTAGTGAGGAGCATGAAGAAATTAGCTCAGACAATGCTAGAACTGATTGCTTTGAGGGTGAGGTTAAAGTTCAAGCCCTGATCTATACCTCAGTTTACCTCACCCCTGAGCAAGACAACTTCTTCCAGAGTCAAGCCAGAGCACAAGAAGAAGGTACAGACATCCAGCAAGACTGGCCTCGAGGATAAATGTGAATCCCTGATGGAATGGCACAGTACAGATGTCTCCAGCAAGGCCTTATGAATTCTGTGCTAATGCAACATGACTAGCTCAGAAGGCCTTCACACCAGGGCACCTATACCATACCAGTGATTCCCTTCATCACTCACCCTGGAATTAGGAGGTGGCCAGGCATTCTTCGGCATTATACAGAACTTCTCAGTCCTAATTCCCTCATTTCTGCACAAAATTGTTGTTGCTTTTATTCCTCCAACAAGGCAGGAACCACAGTCTATAATGTGAGGCACTGCAATGAGTAATGCAGAAAATCAGACTGCAGAGACAGTGAAGGCTGCTCCTTAAATAACTCTTTACAGACGTTACTGCATGTGGATATTCCACGTGCTGCAACCCTAAAACCCTTTGAGTTCTTTCCACTTGGAAGTTGGACAACGTGAGGTGTATATTTCTGCACTCATCTTACACTTTAGTGGGGCTTCCTACTTAAAGACTATTGAATTTTAAAAGGTAAAATGATGTTTTTTAAAAGCTCAGTATAACAGGAATGGTGAATTAAAAAAAAATCAAAGCACATTTTTGCATAAGTAAACCTGGTTGTTACAGTTGAGGTTAGATATATGAGAGGTGCAGATATATCACACCCATATATAATGAATGTAGCATTTCATTAATATTAATAGCATTAAACAGTTATAATTAAATCATAATTCCATAATATTTAGGATCAGTAATTACAGTTGAGAGTTCAGGAATCAACCAAACACAAACCCAGAAAAATGGCTCTTACTCACTCTAATACAAAACACAAAAGAGCTTAATGCACCAAGAACAAATAATGGAGGAAAAATTTGACAGGTTTACATTTTAATATCTAATAAATCTATGATGAGTGAAAATAAGATTGACATCAAAATGTGGAAACTGCATAGACAATTTTTTCCACATTGTTTTGTGACACAAAATTGGAGACAGTCAAATGAAAAAAAAAACCCAAACCAAGTCCATGTAACTTTAGAGAAATTTAAGATTTGGACATTACTGACATGCTAACACTGGAAGTGATCTTTTAGCTTGGATCGGGATCAGAAGAGGTTCTGATAGAGTCTCCACTAATATATGATCTTCATAATCTTCTAGATACTCAGGAATAAATTGGACTGTATACTGGCATGCCATCCCAGGAGCTATCATTCCTCCCTTTCCTGGAAATTTTCCTTGGGGGAAAAAAAATGCAGGGAATTAAAAAAATTAAAACCTCTTGAAGTTGGCACTAGTATTTATGATCACATCTCCCTCTGGAAAGGTTCCTGTATACTCCCCCCATTTCTTGCCTAAGTAAAGCTGATTAAAAGGGATGAGCACGAGGGGCCTGGCAGTGCAATCTGTGTATGTGCATGTCTTCCAGGGAACTCACAGAATTTTTTGTCTGAAATATGCTTCTCAGAACTGCAGAAAACAGTGAGAAGAAACCTAGAGACCTTACCCAGTCTTCCTCTGCCACATGAAAACAAGGCTTACATGGGGGCACCCAAATATTCCTCCAGTGTGACTGGGATACCACATTCCCCTTAGGCAATCTATCTACCCCAGTGCCTGCTATCCTACTGTAGGAAAGGTTTTTTTCCTTAACTTTCCTCTAACCTGCCCTTTCTTACTGCAACTGAAGTGTGTTTCTTCTTGCCCCCTTTCCCGGATTTTTTCAGTGGAAACTATGTCTGTTCCTAGAAGAATTTTGGATAAAACTCAGCCTAGGTATTCCATGGATACATCTCAATCTAACTTGAGGCACTTTAATGTTAGTTAGTTTTCTTGAATTCCTCATTAGGCCATTGGAATCTGCTTACAAGTTGGGTGTGAATGGTCCTAAAGACCTAAGTCAGCCTTCAGTTTCTAAAGAACTAAGCACTATGGGTAACAGGACTAAATAGAACATCTCTGAAAAATATTTGTTCAAGCAGATAAATTAGATTTCTTATGTGTTAACATCTACAAGGCAGTAAAAAGAACCCTTACCTGGCCCAATGGAAAATACTGAAGAGCAGGGGGGGATAACTCTTAAATGATGACTTGTTGAAGTGATGTTCTTTAGCTCTAGAGTCATCTTCATTTAAAAAGGAAATAAAATACTCCATTGTATTTATCATCACTCATTATAATGTTTGCAATGCCCTAGTAATATTGCTACTGCTAGTAGTATCTAATTCATCATCACAACCAACCCAAAAACTCAGTTTATTTAATAAGAACTGAATCAGATACTACCAAAACAAAGCAGAGGCTGAAAAGGGTCCATTTAGTGTTCATTGGTTTGCGTGTCAGTGACAAGTGTGAAAGAGTATCTTCCAGGAAGCTAAAGAGTCATAAATTCAATACTAAGAATAAACTCATTTGTTAAAATGCACAAAGACAAAAGACTGGGTGAAATCTGTATATCATGATACTGTATAATGCTTCTCAGTGGTAGAATTAACTTCCTACAAAGAAGTCAGTTCTCACCTCATAAACCTGCCCAACTTCAGAATAAGAAAACAGAACAGCAGGTGGGTTGGCAAGAAACACAGGAACAAATGAGGCAACACTGAAAGATTAAAAAAGAAGGAGACATTATCTTACTGCCTAGTTCTCTAAATACTGATAAAATGAGAAATTGCAAAATGCATCCTTTGGCAAAACCCAAAATGCCATACAGACACACTTTGAATCCTAAGAGACTATACAAGACATTTAGCTCAAAATATCTAAGTATAAATCCAGTATTTCAATAGTGGAGCTCTGTGTTTTCCAACTCAAAACTGAGAAACTGTGTGTATTGCATACCCTCTGGTGCCTTCTGCTTTTCTTCTGGCTGTGGTTTGTTCCACTTTTTCTTGCGAAATGACAAGAGAATTGCCTCCCTGAAGAGTATTTGGTGGGAAAAAGCGTGGGTTCTTCAAGTAATTCTGCCTTTTCTCAAGTCTGGCACGGTACTCACTCACTCCCTCTGCTTGGAACTTACTCTCTTTCCAGGCTGGTTTCTGTGGGGCTTTAGTTTTCTTTGAAAAAACAAAGGGAACATGGTGCAAAATTAAACAAGGCAATTTTAAAGATGATGAGAAAGGTGGAAACTTACATGTCTGATAAAAGCTATATAGCACTGGAAATTCATATATAAATACGGTATTTCTCTTTTTTTTAATAGAACAAATAAATGAAGTACTGGAACCCAATCAGCAATGGATTTATATTCACCCTGTGTTACAGGAACAGCAACAGGTCTTACAGTTCTGACAGACTAAACCAAATAAACTTGCAAAATGTACCTTACTCACCTTTTTACTCTGGTGGCTGGAGTCTGCAGTTGAGGGCAGAGGTGAAGACACACTTGTCAGACTATCAGGCAGGTATATAATCTGGTCCAGTGAGCCTGAAGAAATGTGCCGCTTAAAACTAAATGTCTCTTTCAAGTACCCAGGTTCTGATTTCCCTGCAATTCAAAGAAAAAAAAATTATGTAAGAGAAAAACATGAATGAGCATTGAGTCTGAGCATAGGTGTATGAATTTATTTTAAATCTTGTTGATGGTAAAAATATATTTTAAATCCTCTAGAATTTAATTTACATATATAATTTGTTTTGCACAAAGCTTCGAGCTTTACTAAGAAAGCTTTTAGAAATACTAATTAAACAAGCTATATACAAAGACAGTTCTACTTCTCTCAGAACACTATGTTAGTCTTACCAGTGGGACATAGAATGTCCCATTATTTTACAAAAAGATCCATATGATCGATTTATGACAGTCAGAAAACTGACAAAAATAGGAAGTACCATCTAGTCCCATGTTCCTAAAGTTAGACAACAAAATTGCCACCTTAGGGAAACTGGGATGTGAGACTTTTCACTACGTTTGGAAGTATAGTGGAAAGAAACAAATGCCAAATCTTGGAATTTGTGACTCAGTTGATAACTCAGAGAAGTTTGTTTTGACTTGACTAAAAAATTTCATTTTAACAAGAGTCAAGCCTTTCACCTTGACTCACGTGAGTAAAATGAGTAAAGAAGCCTTGAGATTGCCCAAAAGATTTTTCTTACTGATCTTCATTTGCAAATAAAAGTGATATATTTCCAGAAATGGAAAATGTTAAACCCAAAATAAAGAATACAATTTTATTTCACTGCAAACAGTTTTTACTTGTCTATAACCACTTCTCTTCTCTGTATACAACATGCAGTTGTGGCTTTTGTACTAATGAATTGGATAGAGGCAGAGAACCCACTAATATAGTTTCTGTGTCCGATGATAGAACTGTAAACAAATTTGCAAACACCACAAAATATCATATTTAGGCACTCAGTAATTTTGATTTTATCAATTACATTTTGAGAATGCGCCTTTGATGGAATTTTAGTGGAATTTTATGCTGAGAGTCCCTGCTTCTTTGGCAGAAAACTAGGAAAAATACACTCAGACCTGCTACATCCTCCAATGCTTCAATTACAGAGTTGTTCTAAAAAGTCTAAATTACTTTCTGGTTTAAAAGTTACCTTTTGGTGCTTTAGTAAGAGGTAATTTAACAGTGATGCAATCCTCAGGGCAGATTAAGTTATGTTTTCTGAGAAGTTTGTTATCCACAATCCACCTTAAAGAGGATGCCACTGCAACAGTAAAACAAAGAAAAGACAATTAATAAAGGCAAAATATTAGCCCCTTAGGGTACACCATCTTGATCAATCCAAGGAAATGTTTTTATAACTAATCCCTGTTGTATTTTTGGATAGAGGAATAATCTGGTATTTAAAACCCAAGGTTGGACACACACCACCACAATTCTAAATTCTGTTCAAATGAAGTCATGCAGCCTCAGGAGAAACATTTACCTTCTGTTCATTGCTGCTATATATCAAGGTATGTATGCTTGTCATACTTCGGTGGTAACCCATTAATTGCAAGTTCAATACCTTGAAAATGACCAGATTGTTTAGTTTCTCGGTGTTGAACAGATGTTATTCTACCTGAATCTTTGCACAAAATCCTTCAAAGTTGCTCTGTTGATGTAAAGCCAACCCCAAACTGGTCTCCAGGAACACCACATACCGGGGAGAGACATGCCAGAATCCTCACCTGGTGGCAGCCCCATTTTGTGGAAATGTTCCCCTGCATCTGCCTCCAGCAGGTTTAGGGCCCTTTCTTCTTCAGCTTTGGCTTGGCACTGAGCGTGAATGATGTGCCCTTCTACTTTGTCAGCTTCTGTCAATCGGCGCTCATACTCAGCAAGAAGCTGCCAAAGGCATGGGTGAACATGGAGAAATTTGTCACAGATAAATGTTTTCTATTTGTCTCTTAGAGATTAAACAGACTGGTAAAACATCATTACTTCATGAGCATAAACTGACCTGCTACAACACTGTCATTTCTATCATTGAACTGGTGCTGGGTAAAAGCCCAAGAAAAATGTGTGCAAGTTGAGGAGACCCTCTCAGGACAAGAGAAACATGGTTTTCCTTCTGTGGGACAGAAGCTGCTGCACTGTATTTTGTCTATAAATGTAGGAATTAAATTAAAGTAAATGTCCCTAGTGAACATAAAGGTCAGATTAGACAGATCTTCTAGAAACCTGGTCTAGTGGAATGTGTCCCTGTCCTCGGCAGGGGGCTGGGACTAGATGATCTTTAAGTCCCAAACCAGTCTGTGATTTTATGATTCTGTGATTCCCTTCTAGTTACTAGGGTGGCTTCTAAATTGCAAAAATATCCCCACAGTGATGCTTTACACCTCCGGATGTATTTTGGATCACTCTGCCCAGTGTGGTAAACACAACTCAAAAAGATAAATCCTGCCTCAGAGGTATTGATGTGAGTTATAGAGAGCATTTAGCAGAGGCACAGAGACCACCAGCTAGAGAAACTGACAGGCATCGGCCTCAAGAGCCTCTGCAGCCCAACAGAGCTTTCTATACAACTTCAGTGTTACAAGGTTTAGTTTTTTGTCTCCTTCAATAAATCACAGAGTCACAGAATGGTTTTGGGTGGAAGGGACCTTCAATATCATCTAGTTCCAACCCCCAGCCATGGGTAGGGACACCTTCTACTAGACCAGGTTGTTTCAAGCCCCATCCAGCCCAGCCTTGGATACTTCCAGAATAAATGATTCTGTTAAACATTTTCTATTTCCATTAAATAATTCTATCTAATTTTTTTCCATCAAAAGGATAGCATATATCTCAGATAAAATGAGATGCTTCTTCCTCTCCTGCTCACTCTGGGATCCCTTCACTAACACTGGAATACAAGGTACAATTCCAACCCATGTTAAAGTTGACACCTAAAATTGATCAGATGGATTGTGCCCTGAAAGTGCTTGGGCTTTTTCTTTTTTTTTCTTTTCTTTTCCTTTTTTTTTTCTTTTCTGATGATGCAGAGAGCCTTGAGTGACTAGTTGAGCTGCTGCAGACGTATACTGTCAGTTCAAGCAGTCCATTTTGGGAGCAAGTATTCCCATTTATTACTTGGAACATACAGTGTCCACCAATATAAATGACTCAAAAGAAATACAAACCCATGTTTTTTCATCTCTGATAACTTTTGAGAGGGTATGATGACACAAAAGAGAAAAAATACCTGTTGTTCTAATCATCCAGCATTGGCCTCCACTTTTACGCACTGAAAATAGCTGTAGGAGTGATGACAAGACTGGAAGTCTGGCACACTGACCAGCAGGTGCAGGGAGAAGCTGTCAGCCAGTACAATAGGCATTTAAAGGGTTACTGGTTTTACTGGTTGTACCCTGTGTCTGAAAAGCCACCCAGAGCTGAGAATATCATGAAGGATCATGTGAATATTAACTTGCGGGAAGCTCATGTAAATTTCCACTAGAATGTCAGTTTCAGGATCAGCACACACCTTTTTGTTTTATTTTACAGAAGATCTAGAATTACAAAGTAGCAATGAAAGAGCTCTAAACTCTGACTTGGTTTTCACTTGTACCTTCTGTAGCTCCTCTGTAAAACTCTGGTCATAAACACTGTTTCCTCCTTGGGACTTGGTCCCGTTTGTCTCCATGTCCTCCTTGAAAACATCTCCAGTGTACAGGTCTCCAGAGGTGCTAGCCAGCAAGTGGGAGATGTCCTGAGGAAAGAAAATGAGCTTGTTTAGTGCTTAAAGCCTGAGACAGGATGGGAAGAGAGCCCTGGGTGCATGCAAGCGGCTGAAATTAGCAAACAGAGGAGGCAAAGTAGGAGGAAAGGGCTGGGAACACCTGGAAAGGGAACATACTGCATGTGTGCATGTGAATGATGAGGTGAGGAGGTGTGTGTGTGTGTAAGTACGTGCATGTGTGTGTGGACACAGGGCAGTGCAGACACACAGATGGTGTGTCTGTGCTGACTGTACCTGTGGGTGATGGTGGTGGACACAGTTATCTGTGCACACAGTGTGTGTGTGTCACAGTTTGTGCAGGGCTGTGTGGGGCTGTGTGAGTGGGGTATGTGTGTGTGGGGGAGATACGAGCACTGTACAGGGGATATGTGTGTGTCTGTGTGTGTCCTTGTGCAGGGAGTGTGTCCATGTGTCCCAGGGTGTGTGCAGGGGTGTGTGTGTGTGTGAGGCTGTGTGCAGGAGTGGGTGTGAGGCTGTTTGCAGAGGGGTCGGTGTGTGTGTGTGTGGAGCTGCTTGCAGGAGGGTTTGTGTGTGCAGGGGTGTGTGAGGATGTTTGCAAGGGGTCTGTGTGTGCAGGTGTGTGTGTGTGTGTGAGGCTGTGTGCAGGAGTGGGTGTGAGGCTGTTTGCAGAGGGGTCGGTGTGTGTGTGTGTGGAGCTGCTTGCAGGAGGGTTTGTGTGTGCAGGGGTGTGTGAGGATGTTTGCAAGGGGTCTGTGTGTGCAGGTGTGTGTGTGTCTGAGGCTGTTTACAGGAGGAATCTGTGCACGCCCGTGTGTGTGCAGGAGTGTGTGTGAGACTGTTTGTAAGGCTCCTGTGTGCAAGTGTGTGTGTCTCTGTGTGTGCAGGAGTGTGTGTGTGAGTCTTTTTGCAAGGGGTCTGTGTGTGTGTGCGGGGGGTTGTGGGTGAGGCAATTTATAGGGGGGCTGTATGCAGGAGTGTGTGTGTGAGGCTGATTGCAGAAGGGTCTATGTGTGCAGGTGTGTGAGTGTGAGGATGCTTGCAAGGGGTCTGTGTGTGCAGGGGGTGTGAGTGTGAGGATGTTTGCAAGGAGTCTGTGTGTACAGGGAGGGGGTGTGTGAGGATGTTTGCAGGAGGGTCTGTGTGTGTAGGGGTCTGTCTGTGTGAGGCAGTTTGCAGGGGGTCTGTGTGTAGGTGTTTGTGTGAGGATGATTGCAGAAGGGTTTGTGTGCAGGACTGTGAGGCTGTTTGCAGGAGGGTTGGTGTGTGCAGGTCTGTATGTGTATGTGTGTGAGGCTGTTCCAGGAGGGTCTGTGTGTGCAGGAAGGGTGTGTGTGAGGATGTTTGCAAGAGATCTGTGTAAAAGGTTGCATATGCATTTGTTCAATAAACCCTGAATAAAACCATATGTAAA